TGATGGTAGCCCACTAGCTACTATAACTCAGCAGACTCTCCCTTTTCTGTTTATCTCCTCTGGTAATCATGAATCCATTTCTTTTTTTGTTTTTCCTACAAGACACTCACCTATAGTTTTAGGTTACCCTTGGTTAGCTGCTCACAACCCTCACATTAACTGGAGAGACTTGCGTATTGAGACCTGGAGCTCCGGTTGTCTGGCTAATTGTCTCCAATCTGCTCTCCCTCTCACCTCAGCTAGTCCTGAACTTCCTGATGTTCCTTCTGATCTGTCTAATGTGCCACCCAAGTACCATGACCATTTTAGCAAAGATCTGGCTCTTAGCCTTCCGCCGCATCGCCCTTATGATTGTGCTATTGATCTTCTTCCTGGGGCTCCTCTGCCTTCTGCTCACCTCTATAAGTTATCTCAGTCAGAGCTAGGTGCCATGGAGAAATATATTAATGATTCTTTAAAGACCGGCATCATTCGACCTTCATCCTCACCCCTAGGGGCAGGTTTCTTCTTTGTGGCTAAAAAGGATAAAACATTGCGTCCTTGCATCGATTACCGTGGTCTTAATCAGATTTCTGTAAAGAATAAATATTCTCTTCCCCTCCTGGCATCAGCATTTGATACGGTTCGGGGCGCCACCATCTTTACTAAACTGGACCTTCGAAACGCCTATCACTTGGTCCGGATTCGAGAGGGAGACGAATGGAAGACGGCGTTCAGACCCCCATCGGCCACTACGAGTACTTGGTCATGCCCTTCGGCCTCACTAATGCCCCAGCCGTTTTCCAGGCCCTCGTAAATGACGTCCTGAGAGACTATAAATCCGTTCGTGTTTGTGTACATTGATGACATCCTTATTTATTCCCAGAACCCCCAACAACATCAGCAACATGTCCGCCAGGTGCTTCAACGTCTTCTGGAGAACCGCCTCTTTGTTAAGGCTGAGAAGTGCGAGTTTCACCAAAGAACCATCAGCTTCCTTGGCTTCATTTTCAAGGGTGGACAGGTGAAGACAGACCCCGGAAAGGTAGAGGCAGTCGTCAACTGGCCCGTGCCCAACACCCATAAGCAACTCCAGCGCTTCTTGGGTTTCGCCAACTTTTATGATTTATCATTTTTTCATCAAGAATTATAGTATTCTTGCCTCACCCCTCACTGCTCTGACCTCCACAAAGAGCGTCTTCCAGTGGTCCCCTGAAGCTGATCAGGCGTTCCGCCTCTTAAAGGAGATGTTTTCACAGCCTCCCATCCTCACCTACCCTGATACGTCAGCTCAGTTCACATTGGAGGTGGATGCCTCCGACTCTGGAGCTGGAGCTGTTTTATCACAGATGTCGCCTTCGGATGGCAAACTTCATCCCTGCGCCTTCTTTTCCAGACGCTTCTCTCCTGCTGAGAGAAACTACGACGTAGGGGATCGAGAACTCCTGGCCATCAAGATGGCCTTGGAGGAGTGGCATCATTGGCTGGAGGGAACCGAGTTGCCCATAGTCATCTGGACTGATCACAAGAATCTTTCCTATATCCAGTCAGCCAGACGTTTAAATTCTCGTCAGAGTCGTTGGTCCCTGTTCTTCTCTCGGTTCAACTTCATCATTACCTACCGCCCTGGATCCAAGAACACTGTGTCCGCATGCTCTGTGTGTGCCAAAAACAAGGGTTCCAGTAGACCTCCTGCTGGTTTGCTCCAAAACCTACCCAGACACAGCCGACCTTGGTCCCATATTGCATTAGATTTTGTTACTGGCCTTCCCCCATCTAACCGCAAGACTGTTATCCTACCAGTTATCGATCGTTTCTCTAAAGCCTGCCACCTGGTGGCCTTGTCCAAGCTCCCTTCTGCTCATCAGACAGCCCGGTTGTTATTTAACCATGTCTTTAAACTCCACGGGTTGCCATCTGAAATAGTCTCCGACCGCGGTCCTCAGTTTATCTCTCGGGTATGGCGTGACTTCTGTGGGTGTTTTGGGGCTAAGGTCTCCCTCACATCCGGGTTTCACCCCCAGTCTAACGGGCAGTGTGAACGGTTGAATCAGGAACTAGAAAACACCTCCGCTGTCTCTGCTCTCGCAACCCCAGCACCTGGAGCTACCAGCCTTCTCTCTTACCCTCAACCTTCCCTGACTCAGTCTTGCCGTCCGTAAGAACCCACCTTCGCTGTTGTCGTAGGGTCTGGGACCAGACGCGGGCAGCCCTTGAACGTGCCTCTTGTCGAGATAAGAGCTTTGCTGACCGCAAACGCATCCCTGCCCCCGCTTACACCTCTGGGCAGGAGGTTTGGCTCTCTTCCAAGGACTTCCCCTTAAAGGCCATGTCCAGGAAGTTAGCTCCCAGGTTTCTCGGTCCTTTTAAGATAGACCAGATTATTAGCCCCACAGCTGTCCGCCTTAAGCTTCCTCCGCACCTCCGTGTCCATCCTACGTTTCATGTCTCCCAGATCAAGCCTGTCATCTCCAGTCAGTTGGTCCCTCCGACCAGACCCCCTCCTCCCGCCCGGGTCGTTGATGGCCACCCGGCTTTCACTGTCCACAAGATCGTGGCCTCCAGGCGTACCAGTACCTTGTGGATTGGGAGGGTTATGGCCCCGAGGACAGGTCCTGGGTCCCTCGTTCTTTTATTCTGGATCCTGATTTGATCTCTGCCTTTGAGGCTTCCTCCTCCGGGCGGCCGCCAGGGGACGGCCGTTGAGGGGGGGGTGCTGTCACACTCCGGGTTCTATCCGGGTGCAGGCCAGGTTTTCTCTCTCTCTCCTCTGCAGGTGATCACCACCCTTCTTAAGGAGCTGGAACCAGGAGGAGGGCGTCAGTTCGTTAACGCCACAGCGTTGAACCCTTGTTTCTGACCCCTGGACCTAGCCGTGAACCGTAGACCTTGGACCCTCCGCCTGAGAAACAACCAGGAACCCGAGAAGGATCTCGGGTTAACCACCGTTCAGCCCTCCTACCTGCGATCACCTGCCTGTCCACCCTCGAACCTCCAACCAGGGAGAGATTACTGGTCAGCACACGGACCACCGGGGACACTTCCCCCCCCAAGACCGGACCACAGCCTCTCTACTGTGAGTGTCAGCCCCACCAAAATCCTCCAGCACAGTTTCCTCTCATTCATCAGTCTCATCTTCTCTGCAGAAGCCCAAAAGAACCTGACCAGACCAAACTGCTTCCAGTTCATGTCCACTATCTTGTTTTTCAATAAAACCCCTTAAACCTTCTCCTCCCTCTGTAGTTGCTCTCGTCCAGAGTCACCTTCAGTTATGACACAGACAGGTTCCCAAAATCAGGGTTTCAGATTAGGCAGGCTGGCTCAGGTTTTGCTAACCATTACTAGCAAACACTCTGGCAGGGAAGTGTCAGCCTCCTCCTCCTTAAATACGTCCTCTGATGAGGAGACAGGAAACAGGTGTGTAGGAGTGAGCTCATGCCCTGAGGAGGAAGATCTCAGGCGCCCTCTGGTGGAGAAAGTGGACAAGCCTCCAGATCCCAACAGATCAGTTTCAGATTTAGATACTTTCTGTCACATCTGGAGTTATGGGAAAGTAATTTGTAGTGTGGTAGGAGGAGAACTCATTTTTGGAAAAGTGTAAATGTAATATATTCTTTGCTGTTTGTTTTTTGTTGTTGTATTTTTCTGTTACATAGTTTGTGATACTATGTCAATTATTTATTGATAATAAATGAGTTGTTAAAATCTCAAAATCTCTCTCTCTCTACCTCTCTCTCACACACACACACACACACACACACACGCACACACCTCTCTCACACACACACACACACATACACTGTACCAGAGACTGCACCTTACCTGCACTACCTCAGCCTGGAATACACTATTGCTGCTGTTTTTATTGCTTTTATTGTAATGTCTATACTCTATATTTATCTTATCTTCTTTTACATGTTCAATGTTAAATATTGAATGTTAACATTAAATGTCATATGTTCTTTGTAATGTATTTATTATTGACCACTTGTTGTTACCAGTCTATCACTGTTACCTGTCACGTCCCGCACTTTATGTCAGTCTGTAAATGTCAGTCTTGTATATGTTTTGTCCTGGCATGGTATGGAGAGAAAACGTAATTTCATTTCCCTTTTATGTCTTGTGCATATGAAGAAAGTGACAATAAAAGCTGACTTGACTTGACTACATGTGTGAGGGATTGTAGGGAGGATGTAATTTCGCTGCATTCTTTTCTAAATTAGAATAACACCCTAATATATTTCTTAAATGTGTATCAATGGTAAAACTAATTTAAACAATTCAGAATTGCAATCAAGAGCTACAGAAAAGTCCCAGAGGGCCACAAATGGACTTTAGACCCCACTTTTTACAGAAAAGGTATCCCTGAGTTGTTGCAACTTTCACAGCCATGACAGGCATAAATGGTAATGTGGGGGGTTGGTCTTTGGTAATTTTAGCACAGGTTACAAACCAGATCTGATCATGTAATTTTATTCTGTGGAATTAGTTTCTGAGTCATTTCCTTATTTTGTGGATGATGATGAAAAGGTTAGTAGCTCTATAAGAAGTCTGGGATGGCACATTGAGCCTTAGGTTGTCCTGGCAGACGAAGAAAACAAACCATTCTGAATCAGGTTTGCTGATCGACTCTCTGCTCTTCTATTTCACTCACTGATGAGTTTAAATGTTCATTACATAGGTAACTTATTTTTCATTAATTCCAGCTTGTATATCTCCATCATTTCATCACTTCCATCATGAAGTTGCTGGTTTTGTGTGTCCTGGCTTTCTCTGAGATGGCATGGGTCGGAGCTGATCGTAAGCATTTCTCAAGTATACAGAGTTTGTAAAGTTACTAAGACTCAAACAAACTCACTAATTCCTGTTGTTTAAAATGCCCACAGCTGTTCCAGATGATGGCTCTGCTGATAAAGGTCAGTGAGTGTTGTTTTGTAATAGGATCATGAAGAATAAAGTTCATTCTAATGCTTAAATACATTGCTTTTAACTAAGGCTTCCATTTGTTTGTCTTTAGAAGCAATGGACTTGGTCCAGAGATATGCTTCTTGTCCTTCTGGCTGGTCTGAGTACAACGGTAACTGCTACCACTATGTTTCCATGCCCATGGATTGGGCTTCAGCTGAGGTGATTTTCAATAACATTGTGCTCTTATGCTCTTTTACCTACTTATCTCATGGTTTTTGATTAACAGAATGCAGCTACTACTTCTGTACATCATTCTGTTTTTGTCTTCAGAGGAACTGCATGTTCATGGGGGGACACCTGGCATCAGTTCATAACGCAAAGGAGTACCATCAGATTCAGCATGTGATAAGAACGGCAAGTTATGGGTCCAACCTAGCATGGATTGGAGCCAGCAATGGACAGAAGGTATTTTTTTGCTAGTTAGTTTATTTGTTAAGTATTTTGATAAGTTATTGAAAGACCTTTATAATGTGCTGGGTTCTTTCTCTCAGCTAAGCATTTGGCTTTGGAGCGATGGAAGCCAATTCCACTACACAAACTGGTGTCCAGGACAGCCTGACAATTGGCAAGGCGACCAGCACTGTTTGCAGATTAACTATTCAGGTAAAAGAAAATATCACACATTGGGCCGGATTTATCAAGATCAAATTTTAAGTGCAGTAATTTGCGCTAACAAACTGGAATTTTGCGCGAGGGGCTGAACCATGGTTTGCGGGTGATTTAACAAGAGCGATTGCATAACTGGTGGCAGGTGCAAAACTGTTGGAGACGCCCTATTTAAATGATGGCTTTGCGCATTTTGTGGTTTGCGGCAAAGTAGTTTGTAGTTTGTGCAAACTAGTGCATTAAGAAATTTTAATCTTACAGTGACACCCCCACCCCCCAGAAAAAATAATATATATATTTATATATATATAGCCCTGCGATGGACTGGCGACCTGTCCAGGGTTTACCCCGCCTCTCGCCCATTGACTGCTGGAGATAGGCACCAGCACCCCTTGCGACCCCACTTGGGACAAGCGTGTAAAGAAAATGGATGGATGGATGGATATATATATATATAAACTTTGGCAACCTTTATTCCCTAAGGTGGTATGTGGCTGAATTTCTACTTCACTGCAGTAAAAAAAAACAAAAAAACAGGTGTTTTGTATTGGCCTGTAGAAAAATGCACATACCAAATGGCTCACAAGAAGTGACTGTGGATAAGATGACTGCGCGCACTTCTGAAAAACGAGATTGGGAGATCCCAGATGCAAAAAAGTGCAATGTTGCAAGGAGTTTTGTGATATCCGGGGTATTGCGTGGGTCCTCCTTGTGGCTGGCTCCAAATCCATTCGGAGTTCCCCCAACAGCTCCAAAATGGCAATGCTGGATAAACTATATGTTTTGATGATCGTTTCCTCGTTCATTCCAAAAATATTCACACGGAGTGAAAAAATGCGTTTTCTGCGTCTCCTTGCTTCATTTCGATGTCTCCTTCTTGCGACAATAACCGCTGCCATGTGTGCGCAATTACGCATACAGACCATTTGCACCTTCTTTTGAAACGTGTTAAATATAGAGTCAGATACCGTTAGCAAAATTGCTTTCAGGTTTAATAAATCACTTTGCGAGCGCTAAATTAATATATTTACATGTTCTCCTCCCACAAGACGCAGTTTTGCGTGTAAACGCCCCATATTGCATATTCATTGCAGAAAAAGTACTAAATGGATAAGAGGCGCTATTTAGCACGTTTTAAAGACCAAATCCTTTTAGCACGCTGTTGATAGATCAGTTTGTACATTTTTTAGCGTGCGCAGTGAAATAGCTCACGTTTTTATACACGCAAACCTTTGATAGATCCGGCCCATTGTATGTTTTTCAAGCAGTCAAAGGAGTAATGCGTAATTAGCAGGTTAAATATGTTAGTAAAACTATAGCTAGAACACTATTACATTTACTGGATTAAATACAGTGGCATGTATTGTTGATTGTTTCGTGTTTTTGTTTGGGAAAACGGTTGTAGAATATCAAGCTTCCCTGCAATCATGGTTCCTTATAAACAGGATTTTGTTTCTGTTATATTAACAGATTTTTTTTTTTTTGTGCTCAGCTTCAAAGTGCTGGGATGACGGAGGATGTTGTTATCGTCACCCATCTGTCTGTGCCAAAAAAGTCTGAGCAGTCCGAGAGGACTTGAACCAGAACCGATGGAGGATGCTGTATTGTCTTTCAGTTATTCTGCCACAAAGAAATCCTGTTTTCTAAAAGCTTCTTCTATTTACTTCATATAATTACTTATAAAACAAAAGGTAGACTCGAGCAGAGTGAATGTTTTATAAATGATTATTTGAGTAAAACCTTTTTCTTTTCTTTAGCCTTGCATTAAATAAACTTTTTATGCATGAAAACAATTAAATGTATATAGTCTATTCTCTGTCTTCATCTAGTCATATTAAGTGAATTTGTAAATTTTGTTATTATTTAGTTTTTTTTTCAAATTTTTTCACATTGAAAATAAGAGAAACTACTGTCATCCCTACTGAATTCCGTTACATAATATGGAGAAACTGAGCACAGTTTTTGCTTGCATTGTTAAATATAGCATAGTAATAATTAAAACGGAAAGGGAATAGATTAATCATTAGCATATTTCGTTATGGCGCTCATAGCATCTCAGCCTGCTGGAGCGTGATAGCTACTTTTGAAAGCAAGTTTTATATGTTCCAATAAAATCAGTTTTTATGATAAAGATTATTACATTTAAGAGTTGGAATTGGATGAATATACTCAATAGAACTTCAGTGTGCCTTAAAAAAGTTCAACAATGTTCTTATTCAGCACATCAAAGAGCTACAGATTCATAAATAAATAATCCCACTAGAAGGAGACCATGTGGTGGCCTATATTACTTAGCAGTCTGGGCTTACAGAATAATGAAACTCAAAGATTTGTATCAGGCCTGCTATCAAACTGTCATGATCTGGCCTGTTTGCTCCTGCTTAATTAGTCATTCCTTTCACCTGCCCTCTTCCTTCCCTGCCTAAATTATAATTTATTCCCCTCACCTGTTTCCTCTGGTTTATATTCAGTTCAGCCTGAGCATTCAGTGCCAGATCATTGCTTGTCTTTCTGTCAGTCTTTCTGTTCAGATCTATTTATGGTTCGTGTCCTGGATCCTAGCTGCCAGTGGAAAGAGGGTTTTAGTGTTTGTCTCGTCTCCTGATTGTCCACTGTTCCTCCCCCACGGAGTCCTCTGGGTTTTGGCTCATTATGGGGGAAGGTTCAGTTTTTATCAAAGTAAGCCTGGCTCCAGGGAGGAGACCAGTTTAAAGTCCTGCTTCAAGTTCCGGTTCCTACGTCCTGCCTTGGCTACCCTCTTCCACTGTGCCTGCCTGTCTGCACCTGATCCTGTCTGCTCCTGTGCGTGATCATCATGCTTCTGGTCCCAGTCAGACTCTGAACCCTCCTGGAAGCCTGTGGATGCCTGGAAGTCTGAATCCTGCCACCTGTTCTGTTCCCGCCGGATCTGGATCCTGCCTGTTCTGTCTGTTCCTGTCTGTTCTGGATCCCTCACCAGGATCGGCTGCCAGCATAACCTCTGGGGCTGAAGCACTGGGGACATTCGTGGTCTGGACTGTTAAACCAGGTAAGTGACCAACACAGATAATCTTCTATCAGTTGATTGTGGTCACTTACCTGTGTTTCTCCCACTACAGAATGTCTGAGATTGGGCGGTGCCCCGCCCCCCCCGCCTGCAGTGTCCACGAGCCACAGCTCCGCTTTTGTTTTGTTTTATTTAATAAACGTTTGAACTTTCCTACTGACTGTCTCGCCTTGAATACTGGGTCCATCTGTCCCCGGTTCATGACACAAACAAGCACCCTAAGACGTACCTGTTCAGCGTGCGGGCGGATTCTCCATGGGACTTTTTTTTCTGCTACATTCAAGTAAACAGCGCAGCAAAACAATGATCAGAAGTCAATCGGCAGATCCTCAGATAAGTTGGCTGCAGATATGAGGAGCCAAAGCAGATCTCATAGTTTTTAGATGTATGTGCTTGTACTGGCCTCGTAGAACCCAGCTCTACTATCCAGGGGTTAAACACCTCCACAAAATAAGTCACCGACGCCAGGATGGGTTTAGACTGTTCTTTATATGGCAGGTGTGAAACTGTAATGAAACAATACAGTATACATGAGTGGAAATGAAAAGAAATACAGCAGCCATGCTTTAAATGCTAATACTAACCAAATGTATCAACATGAATAACAGAACTAGCTTAAAAACGGCTCCCTTTTATCTTCAAAAATGTGCTTTTAAACAATCTTATTAATCAGAATCCTTAACTTAATCCTTAATCACAAATGTATTGCATACTCACAGGGAATGCCTTTCATGAACTCAAAAATCACAGAAACACGTCAGCCATCAGAGAATTCTCCGCTCTTCTGCTTGCTGCCACACATGACTGAAAAATAGATCAAATTAAAGAAAATAATTCTAGTGACATTTCATGAGATTAACTATGATAGTAATCATGAAATTATTATACTATTATCAGTGGCAGCTGGTGAAAAATATTTTTGGTGGGGCTGATATAGCCTAGTGTATGTCTCCAACTAATCAAGAATAAGAATTCAAATAAACAATTGGAAATGAAATACAATTTAACAGTAATGATTTAATTTACTATATAATAACAGTAACAGCAGTGTTGGGAAAGTTCTCTTTCTACGTGAACTAGTTCAAAGTTCAGTTCACACATTTTAAAATGAACTAGTTCAGTTCATAGTTCATAATTCAAAATTTTGAACTAAGTTCACAGTTCCAAAAAATGAACTAGTTCATAGTTCTTTTTTTTTTCATATATTGCTCAATTACACCATAGCCTACTGAAGAACCTCAGACAGCAATTATTTTATCAGTTGTAACACTGAAACTATGCGTCAGATTTCATCTTCATATCCAGTTTTGAATCCTTATCCACCCAGGGTTTACATTAGCATTGAGGGGACAGCATTTCCCCATTGTTGCTTTAATGCTTTGTTGCTGTCGATTCACTTCACACTAGTAGCAGCTGCAGCTTTCACCCCTACAGTATATTCTCAAAAAAATCAGCAAAAATGTACTGCTTGAATGGTCTTTTTTTATAAGAAATTATGAACAGAAAAACAGGAAAGTAGTCTTTAAGGTGCAAATGTTTTTTTAATTTTAATAATTTTTTCCATTTGAAATTTCATTTCAGTACATACTAAAAAGGAATACTGGAATCCTGGAAAATGATACCAGGCAGGTTTAAGTGCGGATTTTTTTACTGAAAGCCGGTGGGCAAAGTTTGCAGAGAAATGTAAGATTGTTGCCATCATTCTCACCGCCCACCTGGTCATAAAACTGTTTTAAGTGATCATACTGCTGTTTTGTCGCCTCCACGGTCGCCTCCATGCTGCTTTGGCTGCCACGCTGCATTTTGTTTTGATGACAACGCGGCTGTAGTCTACGACACTGGTAGCTGGTGTTGCCAGATTGGGTGTTTTTCCCGCTACATATTAAGGCCTGTTTACGGTGTGATTTAGCCGGGGTTTCGCCTGGAGGGCTCTATAGAAATCTGGCAATCTATTGAACGGAGTTGAACTGAGAGAGCGTGCCGTTCACAGACACCAGAATGAACGAGTTCACAATAACGTTCATCAGGCAGTAATACAGTACGTTCAGTTCACGTTCGCCAAAAATATGAACGAGTTCATGAACTTTCGTTCAATGAACGCGTTCAGGAACAACACTGAGTGACAGTGATGATTTTGGTCTCTGTGACGGGGTTCTTTGGCCTCCAAGAATCCAGGCTCAGTCGGGTTACCGGTGTTGGTGATTTGTTGTGCTCAAAAACTCAAAACAGGGTGCAAAAGAAGCTAAACATGTACAAGATACTCTGGGCCTCAGCGTCCCTCCAGTTACCAGCAATGTAACAAAGAAAAAGAAAACAGAAATGGCCGCTCTTCTTCCCACAGCCCTCATTAAATAGTTTAAGCCCCTCACCTCAGGCTCTCTTATTTCTGATTTCTTCTCATAAATCAGTTTTGTCCATTTATTACCTCCACAGACAATTGATATACAAAAACAAATAATTTTTACAACTTAATTCCTTTACACAGATTCATTGACTTATTCAATTACACCAAACTGGGTTTGAACCCAGCAAAGACGCCGCCAGACTGAAGATGACAGGTCCCCGTAGCATAAACACGTACACTCACACACACACACACACACACACACACCCTCACACACACGCACGCACACACACACACACACACACGGCTAACCCCACTGAAATATTAAGTGTGCACCCTCAGTACGCCAGCAGGTAACCAGGAACAGCCTGTGTGTTTTAAGTTAATGGACCGCTACTGGGCTCAGCGCGAGTGTATTGGTCCTCACAAGCACAGTATAACAGGAATGTGTGTGGCGCGCAAAGTTAGAGAGGTTATTTTAAGTGACAAGGTGGATTCGTCACAGTCACAATAACCATGACAGGAAATTTTCATATCCTACAACAGGGATGTTCTTCTGGCAAACGGGTAGATAAATAAGGATCTCACCGAATTTGGTGGAAGCTGCATCTCGTTCGTTACAATCATCATTGTCCCTCTAATTGTCTGCACCTGCGCATTTGGTGCAGAAGCCTGTTAAAGGGCAGTATTTTCAGAGCCCCAAACCATAAATGTTTGAGACGCTGATTGGCCTTTAAATTATTAAATTCACCTAGCAATAGTACATGATTGAAAGATTCTCTGCAAATTTGGGGTAGTCTGATCAGAGACAGAGACGGTAGGAGTCTGTCTGTGGAAATCCACAAATGAATGACAGTAGGTAGGCCACAAAGCAGGGCCCCAATGGAGGAGAAGGCTGGAAGCCAAGATCAAGGCAACACGAAGATGTTGTCCATTCCTGAGGCTCTAGAAACTGCCAAACAAAGACTGGCCGCCCTGGCCACCCGCCTAAAGAGATACAAGGGAGAAGCATAAGCCAGGAGAATAAACCAGGTGTTCTCCACCAACCCATTCAAAGTGTACTCACAGTGGCAGGGTAATTCAAGATCAGATCCACCTAGGGCTGAGACTGAACAGTACTGGAGAAACATATGGGAGAAGGAGGCATCCCACAACACCAATTCTCAGTGG